AACTTACAGAATAAATTAAAAATACTGCTGCAAACCTGCTGGGAAGAAAAATCTCATACATTTGGATGTGAAACTGCTCTTCAGCCTTCACTGAGCTGGAGTTTGTTTCTAAGCCCTGACAGGTAAATTCCAGCTGTAGCATCAACTGCAAATGAATTGAGAGGTCAGCAGCTTAGAACGTGACAGCCTGAGGAGTAGCATCCCACCACGGAGGAGTTGGGTAAATCAGCAGATGCTGCTTGAATTACTTGTGGTACTTACCCCTACATTTTATTTATGTTTATTTTTGTGCACATGCACATGAACACACCTGTAACGTTTGGAAGCCAAAGCTGTTTTCACTCTACTTAAGAATTAACAGTAAGTTAAGTACCAACTAACTTACTTAACAGAGTAAGTTACTTAGCAGTAAGTTATACCAGTCTTAAGTACCAATTGTTTATATTTGCTATTTCCTCTACAAGACACACATTGAGAATCCCAGACTATTCCCAGCAGCAAGCTGTTAAATGTACAGAAAAGCAAGAAGGGTAGGCCTAAAGAGAAACCCAGGAAGAAGAAACAGTTGGGGACTGATGGCTGGAGGGGTATTTAAGGCAAGAGGTCGAGCAAGCTACCAGCCCCTGGGTCCAACAACCACTACCTCAGCATCAGTAACTGATCCCACCACTGCTGCACAAGTGGTGTCATGAAGTTTGGCAATAACAATAACTGCACTAACTCTTGGGAATCTGGGTGAGGCAAGAACCCCTGCATGAAGCAGAAGACCTGTACATGTTTGCATGGGAGGTGCAGCAGACCTCCACCTGTAGCTGGTCTTAAAGCTGCACCTACAAGCACAGCGAGTGATGGGGAGGCTGCTGTGGTAGGCATGATGGGCGTACCAAGGAACAGCAGCTGCCTCAAAGCTAGTCTGACTGAAGCTGCAAGACAGAGGAAGCTCCATACATAAGGACAGGCCATAACCCACATCTCCCCATTTCTGGAGTACTGCTCTCTACATGATTTTTCACCACTGGTCCTTAAGCACAGTGGAGAGACAAGGTTGGCTCTAAGGGGAACCTAGCCAGAGTTTTCTGTGTTTCAAAGAGAAAAAAACCTTCCCATTTCTTCTCTGAATCACCCTCCTCAAAGTAAAACCAAACCAAACCCAGATGACTTCCTGAATACTGAGGCAATCTGTACAGCAAGTACTTAGGTAAGATTTCAAAAGATGCAGTGAGTTAGAATTGTACAGAAGCCATCCAAGATGTGACAGTTTAATATAAATACAGGTTCAGAAGTGATGAGCTGATCTGCCCTCCTGCCTCACAAAGCTTTTGTACATCCAAGTACAAAGAGCTGCATTGATGGGAGAACACAGCACAAGTTAAGGATACTGCCCAGGTTACAAATCCCATTTCCCTTGCCTATGTTGGTCTGTGGTTCTGCTCTGATTTGCTGTTTGCAGAACTTTTTCAAAGAAAGACCCTTCGAAATCTGTGCAGGATGCCACATCCCGTTATAGTTATCCCACTAACCTTTGATTGACTGCATCTTGCCACATGGTGTAGAACCTAAAGCACACCTGCGAGTGTAACCTTTAGAGACAGCGAGGAAATCACTTGGGTACACGTGCACCAGAGTATTTACATCAAAGCTGAGACTGGTGCCCACTTGAGGGAATTTTTGGTGCATTTAAGGAAGTAAGTTAGGGGTCTTGGCATACCGACTGTACTTTTATGTGAAACTCTTCATTCACAGCGCAACTACAGCATTTCTTCTATCAGTCTATATGTACAGAATTTTACAGCACCTCATGCACTGTCCAAAACAGATAGAAATTACAGATAAATATAGAATTTTTAGATTGAAATATCTGTATATTTAGAAAAATATACATTAGTAAACACAATAAACCAGGTAGAGAAGTGTACCAGTTCTAAAGTCTCACATGCAGGTAACATTTCTGGGTTAAGTCATGGTAGCTTTGTCATGTGGTAACAGACATGAGCATTTTTTGTTTTACCATCCACATACATACATATACACAGACAACTATTTGCTAATTTACTTCTCTAAACTACTTAAATATTTATCTTGTGAGACATACCACCAATCTTAAACATTTAGCAGCATCTTCACCTCGCTCAGACACACCTATTGTTATCATTAATAGGCAATGTAAAAAGTTCTCCTGCTTAGCATCTGGAAAATGAACGTTTAGTGCGGAATGATACATGAAATTATTTTAACTCCTCCAAAACACTTCAAACAGCTCTTACAGGAAACACTGTCCCTTGCTCAAAACCAGCCTTTCAGTGTCTTTCTCCCCTGACTGCACAACGCACATGTCTCTTAACACCTGCCCTGGCACATCCCGACTGCTGTGTAGACGCCTGAAATGGCACCAGCATTCTAAGAACCTCCAAGAATGGTCTATTTTTAACTGTAATTCTCATTCTAGTCATCCCACCAGGCAGTGACAAAGGAAGCAGAATACCTGATGAAAATCCAATTTTGCTGAAAACCAAACCAAACCAAACCACAACCCACCACCACAAAAGCAAACCAACCCCCTTCCCCCCCAACATTATAAACCTGCCAATGTGAACTCCCACATTCAAGATTTAATGGATAGACATAAGGAATGTGATGCTTGGGTGGGGTTTTTCCACTTACAACCTGCACGTGGACATCCAGTTAAAACCTGCAGACACCTGGATACGATCTTTGCCTGCAACCTAAGCAAGCCATCTTCTCCTATTGCTTCAGAATTGTACTTCTCAATAGCATCTACACTACCACCACCAAATGGTCAGCCGCGAGGCTCCACTCTGCTAACTAACTGCTGGATTTAGAAACACTACGGGAACCTGCAGCAAAAGCTAAAGCTTTAGGTTTTAGCAAATACATGGCTGTTTGGAGATGGCTCACTAGGGAGGCTCTTGTGACAACGTTCTCCCTGGATGGAAACAGAAGGAGCAGAGAGGTTTTCCTGACTAAATCTTGGTGCCCATGTTTCATGCGTTTCATCTGGTTAAGTAAATTTATGGAAAAAAAAGAAGAAAATAAGTGATAGTTGCAATACAAAGAGTACAGTGTGGAAACTGAAGAATCTTCTCATTCCATTCATTAGGGACAGTGAGCTCAGCCCACTTTTGGCATCACAAATAGAGTATTTTCTAACTCGTAACAAGAAGGCATCATATCTGTCCAGATAGCACATCCTATTTACAGCACACGTAGCTCTCCTATTCCACAGTAAATAAGCAGTTTAGTCACGTTCAGCATATAGTGCCAAGAGCAAATCATTGGTCACGCAATGACTCTGCTCTCGTTGCTGCTACATACAACAGTCCATTTCTCAAAGCAGCCTCTGAGCGATAGGATCACAGAACACGTCTCCTGGGGAAGGAAAAGAAAAGCCTCATGCTGGTGCCACATTTAAAAGTTTTGCCAAACTTAAACAAAACCACAGGAAAACACATCCTGAAAAGTGTAACAATAAAACAAAGTAGTGGTCCAAATTTTCCTCAGAGAATTTCAGATTCCCTCTGGAAGACCAAGATCTCAGTACCAGGAGCCACAAGGATTACCTGTGCTATACACAGCTTCAACTAACGTCTTCCACACACACTAGACTCTCAAGCTCCCCTTGCCTCTTTTACCCCACAACAACCAACTTCACAGGCTTTGAAAATCACCTGTAGGATATGGGTGTTTGTGTGGAGGGGTGTTTGTGATTTACACTTCTGCAGTACTGCATCAACTCCATTTTTCTTTTCCTTGTGCATGGCAGTCTTTTAAAAGCCCCAGGAAACAATATTGGTTTGCAATGTCTAAGCCTCTTTTCCTTCAGAAATAGTTCTGATGAAGCTGCCTTTCAATAGCATTCTGTGTCACGCTTTGGTGATGAGAAAGAAATCAGAAGCCAGGTGCCTGTCACCAGATGGAAGAGAAATTAAACAGATAGATGACTTCAGTTCAGACACCTAATCTGGTAAGTGATGGTGAATGCTACTATATACAACAGCTGACGTTACAATATAAAATATGGTCACAAAAAGAGCTAGTCTTAGCAACAAGCTACATTTTCATTTTGTTCTTATTAAGCAGAAATTTACATCAGCATAAGTTTTGATCAATGAACTTGAACCTAATACGAATTATATCAATGAGCCTACTAAGGGAAGAACTGTCACTAAAGTATGTTGTAAAACAAAAAGGTACAAACAACACTGCTTTTTAGCAGTAAGCTTCCAATTCACAAACTAGCTCATTAAAAATGCAATTAAAAACAATGTAACGAAAAGCACAGAAACTCTACTACATCACACTCCTAAAAATACAGCAGTTGATCACATACAAGTATTCCAAAAATATAGAACCCAGCTAGGTATCACAGAAAATTAAGCCAAAGATCACCATACAAATATCAAACAATGTCCTAAGAACAAAAGAAAATGCCCTTTTTTTTTCTTCCTTGTTTTTTAAGCAATGTGTTTTCACAATGTGAATAAATACTCCTAAATGTTAAGCTTCACTCTACAAGGCTCCACGTTATCGAATTCTCCCTCAGGCTACTTCCCCATTATTCCAATTGCACGGAGTTACCCTGTGTACCAGCTTTCTAACGTCAGTCCTTCAGCCATTAACAGGCTAACAGGTTGGCTCTCCAGAACAGCCTCGGAAGCAGCTTGCAAGGTATTGCTTTACGTTACT